ATCATGGTCAACTCACGACCCCACTGATCACAGAATGCCCTCATGGCTGCTGCGTCATCCAGAAACTTCTTCCTTTCAATGTAGTGATGACTTAGAAGACAAACCCACCTTAGGCTGTTAATTGTTGTGTATTAGGCCTGCCCGGCTCCAGCAGTGACAGCTTTTTGTGTCTTCCAGAAATAAACCCATAAATTATAAGAGGACTCTCAGCAACATCTTTCTCAAGTTTTAGGAAGATGGTGATCTGACAGTTCTGGGCTGTGTTACGTTTGCCTCCGACATGATTTTAGCGGATGGATTCTTTGTATTCAAGACTTTGCCTAGGATTTTGAAAGCAAAGCTTTAATAGAGACAAATGTGTTTTGGCTTCAATAATCTTGGCTAAGTTTTCTGAGTTATTAACACTATACATATAAAAAGAAGTCCTTGGGCTGACTCAGTGCTGTGATACAAGAGAGGGAGTAGTTTCACTGGGGCATTCTTCAATTGAGATGCAAGAAAACAGAATACACAGACCTCTTGGTCCCTCTCCATATCTTTAGGTAACTGACCTGAATTTTAGGATTGGGATCATGAGAAGATGTTTTTTCCTGTCATATTTGTAGAAATAACCTTTGAAACAGAGGAGGAAATTTGACCAAACATCTGTATATGTAAGTTCATCAGTATTCCTTTCAACAGATCTGACCTAGAAGCTAACATGATTTGTTGAGTAAAAATCATTTCTTATTTATATTCATCAGTGGGATGAGACCCTTAATAGGGTGTTTGCTTGCCACTCCAGAGTGGGGAGGAATAGAATTTAGTAAGTATCACCTTTCAAGTTTGATTTGGCTTTCTTCAGTCTGACCTCATGCCTGGAGAGCTGGGAAGCTGAGCTGTTACTGCTTTACCTAGTAGGGAATACAGACTTGAGAGCCCCCCCAAACCTGGATCACTCTGGGATCCAGCTGTATGATCTCAGTATTGATCTAAGCCTTCGATTGCAACTCCACTGTTAGAATTAAGGAAGCAGTGTACCCTGTGCCCTCTGACAGAGCAAGTTCTCTTGAAAGGGAGGCAAAACAGAGCTGTGTCCCAACTCTGTCTTATAAAATGTATTTCTGAATAAATAAAATAACATTTCCACAACTACATGTCCTTTTATGCCCTCATGACACAACCATTTAAATACCAAGAATGACATCAGGAAGTGATTGAACCTGTTGCCCAATTACTGGAATTAGGAGTATACATTTATTCACTCAACTCAAATCGTCACCTTTGGCTGATGAATATTGGCATTCAACAAGATAATTCTCAAATTATCCTCTTCTCAGCCCTGTCCTCAGATGCTTTCCAGCTTCTTCTCCAGGTGGAGGTAGCATTTTATCCTGTTCTGTGACCTAAGGGACAGTACTTTCTTAAGAGTGTGTCGATCCCATCAACTTTACAAAAACAGATGGCTCTGAACTTCACCAGGAGCAAAGGACATTGTCTCCATTTCATTGTAGTTTAGTGTCTGTTGAACTCTTGTTGGAGAGTAACGGAGATTTCAGTGGACTGCATGCGGGGAAGATGCTCTGTTACTGTAGACCAGTGATTTGGGGTGAGTAAGTTTGTACTCTGTCTTCTCAGATTAAGCTATAGCAAAAAGGTTACCAGTTTATAATATAGTAACTAAAGCAAATTATCTATTTGTGCCTTGTTCACACACTTTGTTGACACACTTTCCTGGTTTTGTTGTTATATGGGCCAGTGTGACTGTTGAGAGAGGATGTGTCCCTCAATTTATTACAGGAGGGAAAAAAGTCCAGGAACTACTGCTAGGGGTACTCCAGCAGTGCTTCTAGATTTTACAGTGTATTTTGATTACTCAAAAATATCCACATATTTTTGTAAGAAGCTCAAATGTTATGATTAAAATAAAAGCCCACTTTGACAAAACTTCCCACCCCCACCTTTTGTAGCCCAAACACTTTCCCAGGACAGAGCTCTGTAAAGGGTTATTATGTCACCCCTACCCAGACACTTGATCTCTTTATTTGCATACAAATATCCAAACATAAAGAGTTGCATAATATTGTTTTCTAGATCACATTGTCTTACTCTGTAGGACTTGCTTTCCACTCTCCAGTATGTCTTGTATCTCTATAATGGTCTGTAAATAAGTACATCATGCCTTAAAATGCTACAAATTGTCCATAATGTGGATGAACCATAGTTTATTTAGTTACTCCCCTAGCAATGGACATTTAGGTTTAGACAGTATATTCAAACTTTGTTTTAAGTGAATTCTCATAATCCCAGTATATAAAAAATTAAGTTTGTACTCTACTCGATTAAGCGATAGCAAAAAGTGTACTAATTTATAATATGGTAACGAAAGCAAATTACCCATTCGTGACTTGTTCACACACTTTGTGCTTCAGTTTCTTTCTCTATAAAATGGGAATAAGTACAGCGCCCGTCTCACAGGGTTGTGGGAGGATTAAATGCGTGAACGCCCGTGAAGTGCTCGCCCCAATGCCTGGTGCATGTCGGTGCTTGCTCAGGGTTCACAGTTCTGTGCTTGAGTCATGAATCTCTTTTGTTGGTTTTCATAGAATCACTTTGACCTTTGACTCACATTACCTACAGCTTTTTACTTGTTTGGAGGGTGTCACAGGAAAGCAGTGAGTTCTAGGCTCCGTTGACTGTGAGGATGTCATCTTGGATGTTGTTTATCTCATTATGTAGTCTCTCTTTGAAAACAAAGAGAAATTGCTCCTTTCTCAGGAATGGCTGCGTTTCTCCTGGGAAGTCTGTTTGACTTTCTCCTACTTATCTGTGTGTCTTCCCTGCTGTTCCAGAGGCTACCAGAGTGGATCCAGATATCTCCATCTACTTCTTGCATGTTTTATAGACTCTATGGTGTACATTTTATGTATTAACTGAACCTATGGCATCAGTGTTCTTACTTTTCTTTTTTTTCCCATCAACTAGTGAAAATCGCTGCCTTTCTGTGTGACTGTAGGGCAGAGGATTTGCTGTGATGAGGAGCGAGTTTGCTTCAGCTGAGGCACTGTGCACTTGCTGTGGTGGCTCCTTGGGGTCTCGTGGAAGGAGTCTGCCCTTTGGTCTTCTCTCCTTCCCTCCTGCTGGAGGAGGGACAGCTGCCAGTGTGGAAGGCTCGCCACACATGCAACACTGGAGTCGGCACAAGCAGCCTCACTTGGGTGCCTTCTCTATTCTCCCTAGACCCTGGGAGAGAAGTCACCATTATGTGAATTCTCTGCCAGAGAAGCATGTGAATTGCTGTTAAGAAGTGTTGCCTCTCTTTTCATGTCAGGTTCTGAGAAAATGTAGGTTATAATTATATCCTTGGATACTAGTCAGTTTGACCACGTGAGGGCCAGGCTATTAATTAATGTAGCAACAATAACTGTCATCAACACGAGGAAGCCATTTATGATTGTCAGCGTTCTTTGTCTGTGGTATGAAAGCGCTTCCATAACAATGAACAAGATGCAGACTGGGAGAGGCTGGAGTGGAAAGCAGTGGAGTGGCAGCCAGGCAGTGTCCCGTCCAGCCTGTGCCCAGCACATCCGCCCTAGGCATTACCCCAGGGTTTGCCTACCCACCATACCTTCCCCAAACACTTTTCTCATAAATGGAAAATCAGGCTTGAATGAAGAATACTCAGTGCCTGTTTCTGTTCTAGAACCATACCTAGCTCTGCTGCAGACCCACAGCTAGGCAGTACACTGGGGAAGGGGTGGGTGACAAGAGAAGAAAGGAGGTGCCCTTTCTTAATGGCAGGGGGTGGGTAAGCCATTTAGGAGGGTTGGCATGTGGAGAAACAGACTCAGAAGGGTGCCATCTAACCCATCTAACTCCTGTGCCTGGTTTCCTCTGAGGCTCCCTTTGCAAAATCATGACTTTCATTTGGGACAGAGGGCACCTGCCTTTGGAATATGGAACATTGAATCCTCTGAACTGGCCCAGGTTATTATGATTGTCACTTCCCCATTCAACAACAAGGTCTATTTTTTCAAGTGCCAGGGACTGCTGCCAAGTTCCTGGATAGCCTACGGTGGTCCTCTGGTTTCGACCTTCTATTAGCATGGAAGAAGTATTGCTGGCATCGGGCCATTAGCAGCTACCTCCCTCCTCCCTGTCTACAACCAGGACAGACACACCCAGAAAGTGACTGCAGCTCCTGTCTCTAGCTCATGGCACTTTATACAATTCTGCCACCTGCCATTTAAAGATCATCCACTTTTCCCATTTTCTATGGTTTCTGGCTACTTTCTATTTCCTGTGTTTCCCCTCTGCTTAACCCTTTGAGACCACTCTGATTGTCATTTGAGTTCTTTTCAAGAGGTTTCATCTTGGTTTGCACTTCTTAGTTCTAGCACAGCAGGAACACAGCATGGTGGGCTTGGCTGCTAAGCCCTTGTGAAGGGTTTGGATGGCCACTTATAGAAGGGACGTGTGAGTAGATGAGGGGCTTAGAGTTGGTATCCCCATCCTTCATGTTCCTGTGATATTCAGGATGAATGTCCGTACTATGAGATGGGCCTTGGTGCTAGAGGACCCTGGTATAAAAGTTAGGAGATCCCAAGATCTGTGCAGGAGCTGTTCTCATGCCATGTCTTGGTACATGGACTGGATTCCCCATCTCCTCTCAGAGTAGACCCTTACTGCTGTTGGTGCCTTGGGCAGGCCGTGCCTACAGCTAAACCAGACCCAACATGTCCTGTCAGTTCAAGCACCACTGTGTCTACAGCTCCACCGAGGCATCCCAGCCAAGGGTGAGGTCACCCAGGGGGTATTTTTGCCAACTTTCAAGGCACACCTATCCATGGCATCTAGTCTGGTCCTTCTTGTAGTAGTTTTGAAATCCTGTGGCTTCCTCTTTTGGTGAGTGGTTTTGCATATATAGTCAGTGAAACTGTCCTCCCAAATTGCATATTTCATTTGAGAATTAGTAAGATGTTTGTCTAACCAATTCTTTTCACTTTTTTCCTTCCCTTTAGTCCCAGGTAAATCACCACGGTGCTGCTAGTAATGAAACCTACCAGGAACGTTTGGCACGTCTAGAAGGAGATAAGGAGTCCCTCATATTACAGGTGGGTCCTTTTGGATGGGAAGCAGCTTACCCTGCCACCTGCGACTCCAGAGCTGCCCTGATGAGAGGGGAGTGCAAGGTGTTTTCTCTGTTGGATTTATCCTGCTCCCAAAGTATATGTGTTTTTAAAAAGACTTTTCCTAGAACAAAGCAGAAAGTAACTGGGGGCACAATTTAACTCTGGATTTGCCTTGGGGGCCTGCAAAAGCATTTGCCTATTTATCATGTACAAGCCATCATCTACCGCCATACCCTGGATGCTCTGTGACGGGAGGACTGATTGGGTCCTAACCTCTAGGAGCCTGGGAGTCTTGCAAGGGAGATAACATGTGTCCTTATGTAACTAATGAGACAGAGCGATATGGGCCTAAATGTGAAGGGTAACAGGATCCGGTCCAAATCATCTGGAGCTGATCTAGACTAATCACTTTGAGGCCTATCCCCCTGGGGTTAGTAAGGCTGATAAACGTTTGCTGACTCCCGCTTTAAGGAGAATGCCAAAACTTTTTATGGAGAAAGATAGTCAAAGGGACTATTTCATCTCTGAAATCTTGCTCTGGTTGGTAGAACATAAAGTCAGAAATTCTTATGGGAGGCCTACTGGTGAGGCAGGGGTCCTTTGCTGTGTTAGCTCTTCAGTGTGTAAGCCGGCAGCAAGGTCCTGGATGCAGCAGATACACTGCTGGACACTTTGGAGACTAAAAGATTAAAATCCCAATCCTAGATCCTTAAAAGGCTTGAAGTGTGGTGTACAGACTAGTAGTGAAATAGGGGACAGGGTAGGTGGGATTCTGGAGTCTTCCCTGGACTGGGAGCTTTAAGTTGGAATGCTAGAATAAAATTAAATAAATATTATTTTATTTGGCCTTTGTTTTCCCCTGTCCTGCCCTTATTTTAAATAATTGGAAGCAGACCTAGTATACAATAATGGAATTTTGTATCCTAGTTTTGGGTTTTTCTTCACTTCCCTGAGCTATTCATTAAAAAAAAAATTTCAGTGCTCAAGACTTGGCGGTCATTTGTTTTAACTGCTGGTGATGCAGCAGAAAAGAAAACTAAGTCCCTATTGCAGAGCTTCCTTTTGAGTGTGCATTTGTATAAACAAGAAATAAAATGTTTCAGGTGGTGATAAATACTATGGAAAAAAACAAAATAGCCAAGGACTGTGTAGTCAGAAGCACTCCCTGAGAAAGACCTGCAGTAAGACGGGGTGTCGGGTGGAAGGACACGCGGCCAGAGGTGGCTGGTCCAGAGAGCCCAGCGGTGTGTGGGGGAACACATGGGAAGGAAGAACGCCAGGGGTCGGGCCTGGCACTCTGCCCCAGGAAGCATGGTGGTAACTGCCTTTCAAGAGGTAGCAGGGGCCAGGTCTTAAAGCATTCTTCAGTGCAACTGTTTTGAGGGATGTATAGTTTGCATAAACAAACATTTTATTGATTTACAATGCTCTATAAACTCCAGGAGTACAGCTTCACACTTCCTGCTGTGTATAAACGCACCATTCCCACGCCATTGGCCTGCTCAGCCTTTTCCTCTTTCCCTTCCCCTCTGTGAACCCGCATAATCTTTTCACCATGATTTGTTAGTTTGGTTGGTTGGTTATTAGATTCCCACAGATGAGAGAAACCACTTGGTAGCTGTCTCTTTCACTTTCTGACTGATTTCACTTAGCATAATGACCTCAAGTTCAAGGATGTGTCATGCAAAACGCCATCCTCACGATGTGATTCATGAGAGAATATCCAATTTAGATTTTCATAGCAAACGTTGTGAAATTTGCAAACGTTTGAACCAGGAAACTCATGGCCAAAATCACACATTGCTATTTAGAAGGATTACATTTTATTATTTTTTAAAAAAGATTTATTTATTTAGGTGTACAAGAGCTGGGGTACAGGCCAGAGGTGGGGTGGGGGTAGGGGTGGTGTGTGTGTGAGAGGATTCACCAGAGACAGTGGGGAACAGAGCAGGCAGACTGGCTGAAATACACTGCTGAGGGGAGCAGCGGGTGAGTCAGGAGAGGTCTGCTGCGCCATGTGGGTAGCTCCTGGGCCGGGCATGGAACTTGCGCTGCAGTGGCTGCAGATAGCTTCACAGTGCTGAGACTTAACCCCTTACGCCACTAGGGAGGCCCAGGATTACATTTTAATAAAGAAGTTCTGTGTGATAACGCTCTTCTGCATGTTCATGTTTGTTTTTTAAATTCTGAATTCTTGAAAAATCCTTATTTCAATAATCCCAACACAACTGGGAACTGTGTTTATCAGAGGAGTCAGAAGTGGACTTTAGTGTTTTCTGTATTCCACCAGCAACTTGTGGACAGACCAGCACCATTGCTGTGTCCTGGCTCCCCCTCTTGCCTAGTTGCCATGAAGCTGGTTAGACAGACCCCCCCACTTGTAAATTCACACAGCAGCCCAGCCGGCCTGAGTTAATTGGAGTCCTTAGAATGTTTTCCTGGGTCTGCTTATAGAGCAGTAAGGCACATCAAACATAACAAAATACGTTATTTCCAGGATTTAAAGCAAGTAAAACCAAAATTTCATATTCTTATTAGGATGTAACTTAAGACAAGAATTTTCATGTTTGGTTTTTCTTTTGTAGCTCCTCCTCCTAGTGCCTAAAAACATGCTGAGTACATTGTAGGGATTTCAAAAAATTCTTTTTAGTGAATAAATATCACATTCTAGGATCTTCATAGATTTTGTCCCAGTTTTCTATCTACACTTTTCCATTTATAATATATAAAGTGATGATTGAGGTACATCTTGAGCCTCTTGTGCAGCTGAGCTGTGGCCTATGGGGTCCTGGGGACGACATATTCTTCCTCTAGTTTCTGTGCAGACTACATGAGTGTTAATCCCCAAGAGAAGATTAGCCCTAAAATACCCCACACAAATAAGAGACTGTGGAGCCAGGAAACAAAGGTCGGTCCCTGTGCCTACCTGTGAAAGTAGAGTTAGTAGTGAAAAAGGCCAGGGCCATTGATAGCGATGGGCTTAAGAATTAAACACAAACAGAAAGGTTTATGTTTAAGATGGCCCTGCTGGCAGGTGCCCATTTGGAGATTATAAATGAAATGTTTGTACCCCAAGCATCGGCTCCAGAAATATGTCTCAATTGTGCATAATTCATTTCGCAACGTCAAATGGAAAGCTTTATAACCATATTAATGTAGATTAGTTCCTTTGTAAAAGAGACCTTTATAATTAAAGTTTATTTACACACTCGTAAATGAATTCACAATAGTTCTTTCATGCTCTGGTATTGCAGTTTGAGAAATAATTCAGGGTAATCTATATGTAAATAGCAATGACTGGACCATAGGTTAAAAACCAGAGGGTCTAAAAGGATCTCAGTTTACCAGTCATTGATTTCTTTATTTGGGGAAGGCCATCCGTTTTCTTTCGCTATCTTTCTGTTTTGAGATACCTCTTCATAACTAAAAAGAAAGAGGATCTACACTGCCGTCATTCCTGCTAATGGAGCAGACTATGAGATCCTCCTATACCTATGTCGGGTGTGATTTACGTGTCTATTGTTTGTGGCTTGTTATTAATAATTCCAATAGATGTTCTCAGCGTGCTTCAGAATGACTTCTTTCCTGCCCCCGTATGTGCAATGTGGCTTGTGTATATTTATGACTTAGAGTCATGTTTTGGCCTGTGAAGCACAAAACCCTTTCTGAGCCAAGTTTTGTCAGTGCTAATACATGCCCTTTACATCCCACATTCCTTAATTGCTTCAGAACCTTTGTCTGATAGGTGAGCAGTCCTCACACCCTTATGAGAGAGGAAAGGTCATTGGTTCGTTTCCACAGAAGTTTGGACTGCTCCTTCACACGAGGTGGCAGAAGTCCTGGCAAGCCAGCTCAGCTATGCCTTGAGGTGGGGACTGCCGAGTGAGCTTGTTCAGAGGAGTGAGGAGCCAGAGTCCAGCCCAGGGGCAGCTCTCGTGACTGCTGGGTGGCTTTCTCTTGGGTCTGTCAGGAGCAGGAAACCTGACCAACACCATCCAGGCAATGGCAAGACACCCTGGCCAGGTAAGAAAACAACTGGAGTTTCCTTCATCAGGACACTTTCCTCCCTCTGCCCACCGAAAAGAAAAGCCATTCTTCTCAGATGAGAATCAGTATGTGACTTAAGGGCTCACCTACAGTGGGAAGCCATTCCCACCCCTGCAGAACTCTTGCACCTTCACCATTGCTTTATTTCCTGGGACAGGTGAGTGTCCTCACTGACCAAGTGGAAGCCCAAGGGGAGAAGATTCGGGATCTGGAGGTGTGTCTGGAGGGACACCAGGTGAAACTCAATGCTGCAGAGGAGATGCTTCAACAGGTAAGGGTGGCGGGTCTTGAGCGTTAACGCAGCGCATGTGTTAGTCCCTTTTTGTGCCCAGGCTATAGCTCTGGCTGCTCACTTTCCCATCCTGCCTTTGAGCTAGGTTTGGCCGCTCAGTGTGTAGTGTTTATGCAGCAGGTGAAACCGGCCTGAACTTGGAGAGTTGCACAGGGGGCTGGTGGAAGGGCTGGCCTGAGAGGAATAACCTGTTGGGCGGGTTAGAGGTTCCCCAGTGGCACTTTCTCCAGGCCTGGTTGTGGAAGGAGCTGCCAGCTGGCAATGTCATCTCCTCTTTCCGCCTGAGCCAAGGTTTCAGGTGGCACCTGGGGTTTTAGAAAGTCAGTTCCATTCTTCAACTGATTTAGTGCTTCTTTTCTACCCTCACGCTTCCCCCTCCCACTCTGCGTAGTCTTCTTTGATAAAACCTATTACATAAATAATGCTTTGATTTAATAGATACCAAAATTTTTTTAAAAATCTGCTCTCCTATCAGTCAAATAAATCTCTTAAATATCCTTTCTTTGTTTCCTTTTGGTCCTCCTCATCATTATGTAGACCTAATTTACAAAGTTCTGTTCACACCAGATGCACAGTTTAGTCCTCTGATCTTACATGCTTCATGTCACGGAGCTGTTTTTCCTCCATTTTTTAGGTTTGCCATTGCTGTAGATTTTTTTGGTAAAAGTATTACAGATGAGTTAACCATTTTCCTACTCTTTAACAGTTTTGCCCTCTTGTGAGTAAAGAGCTGCAATTTTAAGGAAGGCGTTGTTGGATTTTTGTCAAAAGCCTTTTCAGAATCTGTTGATGCTAATTAGAGATTTTATTTTATCAAACTATTATGATCTATCTAATTGATAGATTCCCTTAATTTGACTAATTCTTGCATCTTCAGTTATTTTGAAAAATACACCATGACTGACATTTACATTGTATGCTTGGCAGCCTCTGCTGTGTGTGTAAAAGTTACACACTGATTATTTAAAGAATGAAAGTCCCTTCAGAGGAGGAAGCTCAACTCAATGATGGCTCATAATCTTTCTCCCAAAGCGCTGATGTCTTTTTATTACTGTGATCACTATAAATTTAAAATAATTTCTCCACAGAATAATAATGTACCTAAGCTTCCATCTCATCTTTGGGTTTAGGATAAATGTCTTACTTCCCAGGTATTCCTACCTTTGTTTGAGTGTATTTTAAGAACTTGGAAAATAAAAGGTTAAGTCAGTATTTTTATTCCGATGTCTTTATAAAAACAAGTTCTAGCAGCTCAGAAGCTGCTATTACTTTCTTATCTTTCTTTTGCTGATTCATAAATCACCACCTTCTTGGCTCCTTTTGATTTTCTATTTAAATTGCCAGTTCTCTTGTTCACCCTATTCCCTGCAAATTGGAGTAGTAATAGGAGTTGAGTCTTTTTCAGTTGAATCTTTCTCTTTGATGTCCCAGGAAAGAAAATAGCCTGATGGAAAAATCTCAAAGGACAGGAAAGCACTTTTCCAATGAGTACAGGGAATAAACCACTAGATATTATCTTTACGTCTGCGCAAGCTGTGGCTTTGAGGTGGGGATGGGGGAGGAAGGTGATGGAGTGCTATAAAAAAACAGAGACCAAGAAAATTTGAATGTGGAAGGGAATGTGTCAGAATAATGTCAGGAGGTTGATGCTTCAGGACAGCAGTGCCTGGCGAGCAGCCATGTAATAGATGGTCAGAGGACGCTGCGCGGTGGTGGCTGAGCTGGACCTGGCGCTGCCCTGGGTGCTTCTTTAGGCCTACCCGACTCTGCGCCTGTGGTGGTGATTCTGCCCCTCCTCAACTGTGCCCAGGACTCTGGTGTTGGTTCTCAGCATCCCCTGGGGAGGCTGTCTTCCCTTTGAAGCGAAATCCCATGGACTGTTTTATTTTATTTTTTTGGACTGAATTTTAGACTTTAAAAAAATGTTTTAAGCCCAACTATCCTCTGTGGCATTATAATATCAGGGTGAGGCCAGAGGTGCAGGGGTGACAGAATTTATCAGAGGCAGAGTGGAGAACAGGAAAGGTGGGATTATTGAAATACCCTGCAAAGGTGCAGGGGGCAAGACAGGAGAGGTCTGTGAGGCAAGAAGGATTGAGACTCTCTTTTATATTCTGCTTTCTTTGGCTTTCCATTTAGGGCGCCAGTTTGCACCAGTTATCTTCTGGGATGTCTGCTCTCGGGTGCTGGCCTTTGACACAGAATGTGTCCGGGCCCTGCTTCTGCATTCCTGGAGCTGGGCTGGTTTTTCTGGTCATGGTGGTCAGGCTTATGGCCTGGTTCCCATGACAACCTTATCCAGTCATTTATCTATTCAAGCTTCTCAAACCTGTTTACTGAGTGAGCAATGGGGGGCTTAGTTTTTAAACTTACTACATGGTACCCCAGCATCCTCTCTATCCTGCTTATCCTAAAGATTTAAGGATCTTCCTGAACTTAGCAGGTTATTTTATGTCTGTAACTTTCACCGGTTTCATACTCTTTCAAGGATGAAATGATAGGAGTATGGAATACTCTTTTCTTGGCAAATTCTGAGTTCAAGTCACAGAACAAACTGGAGTCTCAGTTCTCACTCATGTTTCTTCTGGGCTTGGCGGTGTCGGAGCTTGAGATTGTTGGGTTCCCAGTTCCCAGTCCCAAATTGAATGTTGTGCTGTTTCTGCTAGTGCTGTCCTGAAATCTGCTTCATCTATTTGAAAAGACTCGATTCTTGTACCACAGTGCTGATGTGATGCCATCTAGAGCTCGGAGGACTTTGCACGTGTGTCTCCTCTGATGGGGCAGGCAGAGACCTGCCATCTGTGACATGTATCCTGGACCACAGGACTCCTGGCATCTGGTTGTAGGAGCAAGAATGACTCATGGCCTTGAGGCAGAGCATGGGGGCAAACAGTTGACTCTTATTGCCAACCCTGACAACCATTCATCATCCAGGCCCAACCAGGCCTCCTTGCTCTTAGGCTTGAGTTCTGACACAGATCACCCAATGACAGTATCTCTTGGGGTGCTATTCCCAATACCCCTGTTTACTGAATACATTTTGCCTGAGAAGCAGCTGCTACTCAACTCTAGCTGACTGCCCATGAGACCCAGACCTTCAGGTCAAGCCTGGCACACAGATCTCTAGTCTGCCACCTCCATTCTAGACTTTGCTCCCCACTGCTGCTGGGGAAGCACCGGTAGGCCGGGGTAGAGGGAGGGGAAGGTTAAGAAAACCCAAACCCAGCAAGCGCAGCCCAAACCCTGTGTTTACTCAAGTCCAACGCCCACTGAGCCATCTCTCCTTGCAGCTGTGCCCCTGTTCATTCAGTCTCCTTCCAGCAGCCCAGGAAGGGGGAAGTTATTTCCCCACCTGGCTTTTGAGCCATGGAGTTGTCACTCTGGCCCTGGCTCTACTGAGGGGTGATCTATCAGCGCCCATCTGTTTTCCTCTATGCAGTAACCCATCTGGTCTTCAGAAAAAGAGAGCATGAAGACTTTGGGTTAGACTGAACAGGATAAACAGAATTAGCACAGAGGCAGAGATGAGATTTTGGACATGTCTAAAGGCAGGATATTTCTTGTCTACGACTCTGTGCCGGACGCAGGATAGGGAGGAGGCAGCATCTCTGGGGATGGCCTGTGGATCTCAGCTATGGTCTCAGACTCACTGATCATGTGTAGATACCCCAAGGGATTTCCCCATTAGGAAGAGAGATTTTCCAGGAAATGTACAAGCAAGTCTTTAAGGGGTCACAGCCTGGGTTAGTTTTCACTGGTCTGGGGTGGTCTGAGCCTGGGACAGAGCTCACAGCATGGGCCCTGCCCCTCCATTGTGTAAACAGGTCAAGACACTGCCTGGCTGCATCTCTGGGAGCACAGGCCTGAACTCGCGACTTTCTTGCAGTGACCGGTTCACAGCCTGCTGCAAAAAATTCTCTGTCAAAGGGAGGATCCCCCTGATATGCTGCTGTGTTTGAGGCCCATGTGGCTTTTTCTAAAGTGGCCCCTCCGGGGGTAGGGTGAGGTTCTGCACAGCCGGCGCCTGTGCTGCCTCCTATCACTCAGCCTTCAGTGTTACCTCTCCTGAGGGTGATGAAAGTGGATGCTACTTGGTGGACGCTAATCAGAGCTGGCCGCCAAAAGGAACACTCTCCAGGCACCCGCCATTTATAGATATAATTGATTTTGAGATCAGAAGCAATATTCAGTGCCAGAAAAAAGACAGGAGGCAATAGGGAGGCCAAGTGAGGAGGAAGAAAGGATGCAGATTTCATGAGAATACAACCCAGCTTTGGAGAAACCTTGCAGGACACCAGCCTCTCATGTAATCCTCCCAGAATTCCAGTGGCCCATTGTTTTGACTGTTTTTTTTTGGTAAACTGTGGAGAGTAACAAATTTAGGGGTTTGGGAGTCAGTGGATAGGACTTTCTTTAGGTGTACCACTTGCTGTTGGTGGGGAAAGTCATTAAGCTGTGTTCTTATTTACCACAAATAGGGATAACAATATGGTCTCTCTGTTGCCCACTTTTTAGAGCTGTGTTACAGTTATTCCAATTTTGCTCAAACTGAGCTATCGCAAAGTATACTAAACAGAGCTGTATGCATGATCCTGTGTACATGATCCTGTGGGAGCACAAATCTGAGGAGATGAGACATTTGAACCATAAGTGAAGAAAATAGACATTTGCTGATTATTCCCTAAAACTGCTCTTGGGAGACTTATGAGGCAGAAGTAACTGCTTTCCTCAAGTTTATTTCATTTAATGTTTCATTGCCAGACTACAGAGTTGAAGTAATATGTACCCCTTGTACAGATAGGGGACTGAGGGTCAGAGACATGATTTGGTTAGTGAGGTCTGGACCTAAAGCCAGGTTGACTGTAGGCATCTCTCTGCACAGTGTTACTCAAGCTGAGGCTTCCAGACAAGGCCTAGGCCTCCTACTTCAGAGGGCAAAGCGACACATTTTTCCTTTCATGTCTTTCCATGGCCCATTC